TGGGTTTCTGCTCACAGAGAGTGATGCATATTAGAGTTTGAAAATCAAACAGAAATATTTATCCACAACGACCTGATTTCTTACAGTAAATACAGTGTTTACATCATCAGGTTACTGCTCTCAGCTCTGATGTCAGTCATGAGTCGGAGAGCGTGTATTCAGCCCCTCTCAGTTCCTCCTGCATAGTAACTGAAGATAGAGAGAGAGAGAGAGAGGCCCTCCAGCAGTTTAGCCGAGGACTTGCTTTACTGCACATAAATCTGGTGTTTACAAACAAATTGATGAGTGATGGCCCCTCCAGCCAACATGATGTACCCTCCAATTTCTTCCTCTGCATAAAATTCCAGCGTTGAGTCTCCGGGGGCCTGCTTCGGCATTTTTGAATGTCTTCTTCTAATACGCAGAATTATGGTCTGAATTATTTACCGGGAAGAAGAGATGAGCACGAGGGAGCAAAATGGGCCACTATCATGCATAATCTCGCGCACTTGGGTTTAAATGAAGCTGTCATATGGTCAGATTTACATAACATTACAATGTGGGCCCACATCGCAGAGCTCTGAGCTTAATGTTATTAGCTTTAAAGTGAATTCCCACTGTGCATTTACATCAAGAGCATTGATTTTGGGCGTCCTTGAGTTGGCTAAAGGCAGTGATGTAATCACTGAGTCAGTGTTGCTCTCGGTAGAACTCTGAGACACAAATCCAAGCCATCCCAATGTGAACGTTGTATGAAATCATTATTAGTGCCTTTTCTTGTTCTACAACTGGCTGTGAGCATCCAAGGACCGGCCAAGGTGCCCACAGAGTTCAAGGGTGTCTGTAGATTATTTCCTTTAAAACATTTTAAAGAATGAGAGCACTTGATTCAGTGTTTTATAAAGAGAAGAGAAACAGAAGATAATGTAACATAGATGGAAAGCTTTAACAGACTTTATTAGTGTTGTAGGTATTGTCACAAGTTGCTCAGAAACTAAACTTTCTCCTCATTAATGTGCCTCCATTACAGACTGATGCAAAAGTCTGAATGTTGCATGACTCATTCGCAAGAGAACACTAAACATTTTAGGTGCCATTATCCATGCAGCAGAGTCTCTAAAACTACTGCAATCATGTAAAATGAAAACGTTACCTCTGGCAGTTACTCTGTTGTACAAGCGTCATTCAGGCTGGTTTATGAGGACTGTGTTCGGTTCTGCTAATATTCTCCTAAAAGGGGACTACTGCACTCTTCTTCTTCTTTATGTTAATCCATTAACATTTAATAATTTACCCCAAACGTCATTTTTAGCATTGAATGTTCAATAAATCATTTTTATTTTTAACAAAACCATCACAATGATTTACTAGAATGTATTATAATTAATGTTGTATATTATATTATATTATATATATTGTTTAATATCATGTTGCTGTATGTTCATGTTCAAAAGTTGTAGTTAAAACTGTATTTTAATGACCTGAATAAATCAATATAAATAAATTGCTTTCGTACTTCTGCATGATAATGTAAAATTTAGCTTTACTAATTAGTAAAAACAGAAATTTAAAATTTGATCAGTTTAGTTCAGAATCATTTAACTCTCTTTTTGTACAATTTGTACATTCAAATGTGCAATTATATTCATCATGCTACCAAAACGTGCTTTCTGCCTTAACTGACCGTAGTAACCTACCTTTAGTTCCAGAGAAATGTGGTGTGAAAAAAAGCACTTTACAGTAAAAGAAAAAAAAAAAAAAAAATGTATTTACATTTACTTTTGAATTTATGTAGTGTAAAAGTTAGGATCACATTTTTTTCAGCAGAAGCTTCATACATCTTTTCTGGGAACATGTTTTTTCAGTTAAAGAACATTATTTTGAGAGCCTCTGCGTCAGGCCATCGCTCACAGCACAGTAGTGAGAATCTTTCTGAAAACTTAAAATAATTACCCAGTGCAGCGACTAATAGCAGTCTGTCAGAGACACAGTTTGAGCTTGTAAAGGTGAAAATGCAACAAACTGTTTTTTTAAGTAATATTTTGAAATGAATATACAGCACTGCGGGACTACAGACTGTGGTTGTGATGATGTATGGCTTGTGCCAGAGGCAGCACAGCTACATATTAGCCTGAACACACTTCCTTCATGCTCTGTTACTTTCAGCATCATTCATCTGAAAAAGAGCTGCTGTCCAGAGAGTAAATGTGCAGATACACACTACAGGTTAGCTTTATGATTTACATAAGAAACAGCTGCAACCATGGAGCTGCAGTGGACATGCTGACATACTGTACATTATCACAGAAAGACTTGAAGCAGACTCCATTATCTACAGTCTGGCAGAGATTAATAAATGAATGGTAACTGATTGAACAGGGGGTGTGTGGTGTGAACACTTGTTAAACTGCCAGTGATAATAGAGGCTTGGGTTCAGCCGGATGAAACACAGCGTGGTACTGTAGTACTGCTAATTACTGCTGTTCACTTGTTTTGAGAGCAAACTATCAACACGTCTGTCCAAAAATCTGCCATGAAATAACACAAAATCAACTCATCATTGGACGTGTGAGACTCCACTGATAACATTTCTTTGAATTGCTGTGCAAACGCGGTCCTTTCATAACTGAGATTCATTAGAGGCGCTCCAGTATCAGTCACTTAGTTACAGTTATACAATGGTCACAGAGAAATCTGTCCCTGTATTGTTATTTCATTCACATACTCCCACACACACAGGAAGAGACAATGGGCAGAGTCCAGCAGAAATAGCAGTTTGATTCATTTTTCTCTTTCAGATTACAGTCATTTTGTCAGTGGTGGATGCTTCTGTCTCTGTGGTTCCACATTTAGCTGTTTCAGCCGACTGACGCCATTTGGATCTCCTCTCCTCATCCATGGAGAAGGTGAAGAGGTCCATGTGTTTACAGAGAGGGAGCTGAAAGGACTTAAATACAGATCGGCTATTAAAAACATCTACTGTCTACCACCGAAACAGCAGTAACAAGAAAAGATCCCTAATTAAAGCTGTGCTGGGTAATTTTTATAAAAATATTTTGGTCATATTTGCTGAAACTTTCACTATATCCTGACAGTAGTCCATGAGACAGATAATCTGGGAAGGTTCTAGTGCTCCTAATGGTATTTGCAAGAATCCAACGGGCCTGAATGAAAACAACCAATCAGAGCCGAGAAAGATAGTTGATTGTTGAGTCTCATTTCAAGATTCAACAATGAATTGTCTTCAAGCCTTCAATCCAGAGTGTCTTTATATCTTTCTCAGCTCTGATTGGTTGTTTCTGTTCAGGCAGATATAGTGAAAGTTTCAGCGAACATTTTTTAGTTCTCTCTAACTTTTTTCACATGTGCTTTAATATAACACCTGTAACCAGACGTGTGTGTCTACTTTAGCTAGAATTAACCGCAGCCATGATCTTTTCCATCTTTAACTAGCTGTTTTGTTGCCCTCAAACCCTCAAAATAACCCTTGATCAGAGTTTATTTGCAATATTTTTCTAACCCGAATTAGTGCGGTTGCCATGTGCAAATGTTGTAGAAAGCAAGAGATTTTTAAAACCTTGTCACTGAACGTAATCCTGTGGTTTTGCAGTCTGGCAATTATCAATCTCAGCTGTATGCTAGCATGCTAACTTGCTTTACGAAGATGGTGAACATACTAAACATACATGATAATCATCAGCATGTTAGCAGTAGCATGATCAGCATGTAGCATTCAGCCCCAACTAAGTAGAGCCTCACAAAGCTGCTATCATGGCAGTAGACGCTGTTTAGCGTATTCTTCAAAAATAAAGTTAATTATAAAATCCACCCACAGGAACATGTTTTGTTCCAGGGGTTAAAATAAGATCATATTCATGAATTTAAATTATTTTACTACTTTTAATAGCATTTCTTACAAATTAAGCAGATAACAGAAGCACAGAGGTCATCTAATTTCAATAAAATGTACATAAAAAGTTTTATTGCATTAATTAGATAACAATATATTTTTATATATTAGATATATTGTTGTTCCTAAATAGTGATAGTGTCCTTGTCTTTATTAAGTTAAGTGGTACTTCCATCCTAGGTGTTGTTGCTCATGAGACTCAGCAGTAAAAAACTAAGTTTGACTCGAAATCTAGTTTGAACGTCTTGATCCTAACTGTGAGTGATTTATTACTTCAAACTCAAACATGTCACAGTTGTGTTTTATGTGTTTTACACTACAATAGGGTAATAATGCAGTGCTGCTAACTGCCATTTGCCTCTCTCCACATCCCAACCGTCACTCACCCTCACCCCTCCTGCCCCAGTCGGACTGTCAGTCTCACGTTGCATCCACAGCGTCAGACCGAATGATGGCTGATTTATATGCAACACAGGGGCAGGATTCAGATCCACATAAATCCACAGACTTTACTGACTTAGTGTAGGTGCGTCTCTCCCGCTCCATTGAAAGGTAAAGCGGTTCTCATGATTTAAGGCGCTCTTTGAGCTGTCACCTCTTGACCTAAGGGTAAGAGGCAGAGAGTCGTCCGTGGATTTAATGCAAAACCTTGTGTTTCAGAGTGAACTTTCATTCTCACACTAAAGCAGGCTGTCTGATTAAGCCAGCGGAGGATATCTGAATGCGAGAACAGTGTGTGCCAAATGAATAGTACTTTCTTGTTTCCTTGACAGTTGGTGGGATTGTTGAGTGCGACCAAATATACCTGAACCTCCAGAGAGAACATTTTAATAGATATAGAGCTAAGTGTTTCCATGTGAACCAGGCTGCTTGCTGTGCTTACAAACAGGAATGTGTTATATCAGTGCAAACAAGCACTCAGGTGATGATAAAGTTCTGGTGTTGTGGTAGGCCAGTGGTTCCCAGCCATGTGTGTCTGACGTACTTTACCCCCACGTCCCCACCAGAGGAGGTCAAACACCTCTTCATCACCACCTCCCAGGTTCCAGATGTTTTTATTTCAATTGGTTTCAAAGTGGAAGTTAAGTAACAGTAGAAGAAGTAGTCTTTGTTTCGGTCGGTTTGGTCAAGTTTGCATTCTTACCGACACAACTTGCAGCGGCAGCACATGTCAACCTTCTAATACTTTTAGATCATTATTTTAATTGTTATCCATTGATATTAGATTCCTGCACCAGTTTCATAACTAATTTTTATGCATCACAATGGCAACGCATATAGCTGGTAGGGTTGGAGGATTGGACAGACATATCAGTCCGTCCCCGGTTGTTTTTTTTGGCTGATTTCTGTGGCAATTTTTGTCATTTTTTTTATTTAGCTAATTTAATGGTCTGCCTCTGAAGAATGAGACCTGCAGTACACACACTAAGCCAGAGGAAAACAGCTGTAGCAAGAATATGTTCACATCTAACTTGTTAAGGCACCAGAGTTGGTGATTGTAGGAACAGTGTTAAGACTAATAAAGATGGTTCTTTTGCGTCTCTGTCGAGTTTGAATGAAGTGTGTTTTAAGGTGAGGCAATTAAGCTGGTCTTAGTTGGGTAAAAGACAAACTTGAATTCTGAAGGTGTTTTTATATATTTTCTTTCCCTTTCCTGACATTTGGTGAGTTTATTTTATTTATTAAAGCTTGAGCACTTCTTGCACATAGCAAACTCCCAACTCATTTCCCATCTTGAGAGTTGCACATGTGCAGTAGCGATCAGGCAATCATGAGAAAATGGAAAAACTGGTAATGGCAAAGTTTATAAACTAGAGAGCAAACAAGTTTTTCAGTTATGCTGGAAACAGGAGTTTAGTTGGGTGGCGTTGGTGTAATACTATCAAAACAGCCGACAGCATCTCTCTTGCATGGCGGCTAAGAGTTTCTTTGTTGTTATTTGAAAATCACTAATTCATAAAACCATTTGTTTAGGGGAAAATAAAAATTGACAAAAATCTGCTTTAAGTAAATGTTTTCTTGCCCCTATGTAATTACATCAGGCAAGTAAAAAAAACATTAGAACCCCACTAAGACCTCAGCATAACAGTTTGGATGGTTATGTTCCTCCTAAACAGGTTATTGTCGTTATATATATCTTTTAATAAAATCATAATTTCCATTTTTTTCAAATTGGTTGACCTTTTCAATTTTTCCATGTACCACCTGGCAGCTCCAGAAGTAGCCCTAGTTGGGAATCAATAGGCAGCAGGTGCTGTAATATTCTGCTCAATGATACCTGAATTGATACTTCAGATTTGGTCATCAGCCTCTGCACATTATACCAATTTTGAAAAGATGTATATGTTGGTTTTTTTTACCTTTTTGGTGGGTTATAGTACAAATTGTTGCTTTTCTTTACACAACACCATGTTAAGAACTCATCTTTATTGATGTAAACGGATGCTTCGCACTGATGTCAAAGCTCAAGACAGCTATGGACAGCGATGGCAATTTTGATCAAGTGTTTTTAGGTGTTTTTTCTTCAGAGGAGGTCATATAATTGAAATTTCGCCTCAGGGAAAATGCCAGAGAAGTTACCCTTTCACATCCGTCTAGCAATCTTTCTCTTAGCTCATGAGCTTTTAATGAATATGCGTTTGAGGTGTCTGAATTCTCTCAGAAGCACAGAATTCAAATAGTGTTCTTCAGACATCACAGAGTTCAACTGTTAACCCCACATGATGAAATGAGACAACTCTTGAACACTTCAGCTTCATTTTTGTGTTTGAATTTCTCTCATCACATATCACCCATGTGATAATTACACTTAAACAAGATAACATCGATTTCCAAAATTATCTCAAATGCCAGCTCCCAAGCCAAGGTCTTTTTTCTTTTAACTATAAAAAATCCTATTGTGTCTTTGTAGTATAAACTTCTGCAGCCACTGTCATTGATGCATTGAAATGGGTTTTAAAGTATGATACATACAAAGACTGTGCATGAAGATTGCATAAGGGTGGATTAGCATATCTTGCTTGGACGCACTCCTTCCACCACACAGCTTTCAACAAAGGAGCCTTTGCGAGACAGATTAAGAATTAACAAGTGTAACTTACTGTCTTATTGGATCCATCTGTTGTTTTCAGTTAGGCTTAATAATGTGAACTTTTACCAAAGTAAATGTTGAAATCAATGAATGATTGAACAACTTTGGTGAGTGCATAGTCATTGAAATACCAGAGACACATCTGTATGTTTTACAATATTAAAATCAGAGGGTGAAGGGTAGAGAGAAATGGGCTATACCCATGTGGCCTCAATTACTTACATTGCTAGAAAAAAAGAAGGAAAGAATACTTATTCTTTTAATCCCAGGACTGAGAATTATTTGATCACACATAATAAGTCCAGCCACAAATGCTATTAAAACTTAAAACCGGGATCCTTTGGACCTAGAACAAAGGCAGTGGAAACATCAGTGATAAATTATTCACATCAAACTTGTCGCCCCTCCCTCCCCCATCACTGTTTTGCCCAGACACTCCAAACTAATCCAACTCTGCCTCTTTGGCTTGAATTACTGGAGAAGAGACTTCAGATTCCTAAACTTCTGCACCTCTGCTCTGTCATAAAATTCACATGCTGTTCTCTATGCCTTGCTTTCTTTCAACTGATGTCAATAGCCTTATGCAATGTGTTGCATAGTCTGGTAACCACTGTATGTATTATTTTACATTTTTCTTGACTGGATGCAACCTAAACAGTTCCAGTTTGCCTCATTATATAGATTTTGGACATGCAGCAGCAGACTCTGTGGATGGCAGTTTCATTCAGTCCATTACTTTGGTCACGACTGAAATATTTCGACATTTATTTGATTTCAGTGAAACTGGGAACCAAGTCTGAACATATCGTAACATCACCCATTGTTTTGAGTACCGTTTTGAAGCCTTGAGATTGGCTTTACAGCCATCGTCATGACGTTTTTCGGAGCCAGCAGTGGCGACTTACTTCGGTCCTTAGCTGCGTGGTTTCAATTCATCCGTAGCCGGAAACAATAGCAGCCAACCTGGGCACAAAAGTTCACATATTACAGATAAACAGTACACTAATATATGTTTCTAAAGCATACCCTGCTTTATCATCTATTTGTATGGAAGAAGACTTGAAAACAAGAGATTGTTAAAACTCAAGGAAACTGTTTATTAAGCTTAAGTGAGAAGTTGGGTAATTTCTCTATAGACTCCATACTATCAGACTTCATTTTTGCTGCCCCTGGAACGTTTTTATGTTTCAAATGACAACATTCAAAGGCCTACACAGGGAAGTCTCTGCTGCCCCACCCGCCTCCCCCCTGCATAACTTACATAGCAAAAAATACAATTAACGGCAACACACTATAGTCATTTGATTATGTGACTATACACACCAGGACGTAGTGTTACAGTATATCGATAATTCGACTCTGCATCACATTAAACAGTGTTAAGCTGTTCCATTAACCTGCTTGAGCCGTATTCCTGTGTCCTCTCCCAGGCTGAGGTCTCCAGTTTATCAAACGCCCCTGAGTCAGTGGTTTAGACAGTATTTCGTTCAGGATCAACCAGCTGTGATTAAGGGGATTTAGGGGGGATTTTGTGGATTACCACTCCAACATTTGTGTATAAACAGCTGAATGTCACAGGCTGTGTGTACTATCATGACCGAGTCCATTCACTTCACAGAGTGGATTAAGTGAAAAGGTATCAACACAATGCTGCTGCCACAGAAAACAGCTCCTCTCTGAAATTTATGATTCAGATTTTACACTTTTCCTTTGTTGTTGAGTGGCTTTTGCTCGAGAGTGCAATACATTACCAGTAATCAATGACAGATACAACATGCTTGTTCTTACAGTGTTACCCCAGTAGAGATATCTAATATGTTGGGGGTTTTTTGTTTGCTTTTCAAGCAAGTTAGGAAGAAATAAATCAAGCAAATTAGCTATTTTAATATCGATAGTGTGTTTGTTTCTTTGGGGTTTTTATGGCATGGGAGTGTTGTCTTTCTTTCCCTGCTCCTCTGTGTTTTATGGTGTAATCAACATTATTGATTATGTCTCCAAGGCTAGTTGTAGTAGCTGTGCTGTGAATGTGCCACAATTCAGTGAGCGTGTTTGTGCTCTTGGATCTTTGATAGATAAATTCATTGTCCTCGTGTTGTGGTTGCTCTAACCAAGTGACATTGTCAGTTATAAATGACTTGCCCACATTTGAAAACACGGTCTGGCAGCCTCGTTTTGCAGTTCATGAATTGTTTATTATAAATATATATGCAATTTAATAAAAGCATGACTATGATTATGCATGGATTAATATATAAATGAATGTATGACACACTATAAACTATCATGACTATGAGGTAAAAAGTTGAAAATAGATAAAATTGCATGCAACATAATTAACCCCTTAATTAATACCTTAATTATTGA